TCTTAGACGAGGTTCTTAATTTTTTTGGTTGGTGAGAAAGGTCACACAGTAATTTAGTTGATTCAATGGCATACTTGCTTTTAATGATTGAAAATTGGGAAAATCGCTTCTTGCTTAAATGGGAGTGCGGATAGGGTAGGTCGTCACTCTCAAGCAGTCACTGCGAAGAGACACTTTTCACCTAAAACAATGTACGCAAGGTTTGTTGTTTACCGGGCAGAAGAAATTAAGCGATGCGATAAAGAGCTGTGCACAGATTGTCATCAAAATGTAAATTTTTTTTTCAGTAGAAATATATGTACATATCCAAATTTTAAATACTCATCAGAATCACAGACGGATGATCCCGTTCATTGATCGCTCTGTTGAATTCTGCCCATACAAACGCAAGGAGGCAGAAATCACATCCAGGATTAAGCTCTGCTATGACTAGGCGCAGTCGAATGTACTGTGGAGGGCCAGTCACCTTTTAGTCAATGATTCTTTTGGTCAATAATGCGTTAGCTTTAGTGGAAGGACAAACGGCCGAGGAAATGTGTGAAAGCTTGCCGGAATTTCTCGGAGGTGAAATAGAAGGAAAGGACATGTAAGTGAATCGAGAGAAAGTGCTTCAGCTTGGATGAGCCCCAAGCTTTGACGGTGATCACTTCTGTTTTGTGCAAAGTTCGTTACAATGAAATGTACATCTAGTTTTACCAAAGTTGGTGGATGCCCCCACGTCACTGCAGTGCGAGGGGAGGGGGCTCATGTCCTGCACAGCATCAGGCGGTCTTGTTGTCCGTCCGGTGTGCACGGGCCTCACGTGACCGAGCACCGATCATATCCTGCCATAGCACAAAACGTGGGGTCATGCCTCTGATCTCGAACTCCTGTTCTGGACCGAAGCGAATGCCGCAGCCCAAAGCCGCTCACGAAATGTGACAGCGCACCGCATCCATCGGAGACATGGGCGACAATGGGAGACAATTCCCGGACCTTGGAAAGCAGCGCCCGGGAGTATAAAACTTGTATGCATCTCGTGAACCCAAGACCGAACTTATGGCTGCAAAAGCTATGAAGTCATCGATTCGAGGTTCAGAGTTTGTTTCGAATGGACCTCTATATGGGGCTCTCGGCAAAGTTTCTTTCGAATCGGCTGCAGTTTTGCACGGGTCCTGAGATGAATGAACCTCAGGCATCTGAGTCCAATCGGATGTTGCAGCTCAGAGCTCCTGGAACGTGCAACGAATGTGCAGAGCAGGTTGTGGTGAAACATACTGCTCGACACTTTCAGTCATCATATTCGCTCCCGCTTGACTTAAGTGGTAGAACCAGTCATTCCTGGGCGACTTGCATAGATCCGCATTGAAGGAGGCCCGGATCTATGCAAGTCGCCCAGGAATCTTGCATGGTAAAGGTCGAGGCCGCTCGTTGAGCTGTTTTACGTGTGAAGCGATTCAACATCGGAGTCACCCTCGAGTCAAAGGCTCAAAGGCTCAATGGGCTTTTGAAGATTGCAACAGTATCTATTCCACGCTCAAAACAAAGATCATAGTCAAGCTTTCCACTTTTTTTATCCGAGAATCAAACTCCTCGTTTGATCCATGACGTTCGTCGTACGATTGGTTTCTTTACCATTGAACAGGAGGTCAATGTCTTTATGTGCTTGTTACTAACGAAGGGCGTGTGAGGGCTTACACGTCTCTGATATACAGTTGATATATCAAACATCACAGTGACGAGCGGTGGCTAGGCTTGGAATCAGAATTTGGGTATACATTCCGATTAAACTATGGGTTTACTTTCTTCAAGCATATAACGAAGATTGACAAAAGTGTACTTCTTCGAAGAATGTCCGGAAGGGAGCATCCACAGATCCACCCATGCTTCAAGAATACGGCACCTCTCCATCTTCGAAGTCGTCATGCTACTTAGTAGTTTGAGTCGCTAGACTAGCAGCGCAAGGTTTAAGGTTTAGGAATATGATGAGTGTGCTAGATATATAACTGCACTACGTCAAGAACATGCTGTCCTCGAGTATGATACACTTGGCCTGCAATTCTTAGATCTCGCTCGCTGGCAACACCATTTAGGACAAATTTTGCCAAAACCTGGACGAGTACAGCATATGAAGTGTAGAGCATATGAAGCAACTTCCGCTTGAAGAGTTGAGGTGTTATCATCAATCTGGATCATATTGTCATTCTAGACCAAAAAGTAGAGCTGAACTGACAGCATGGGCGGAAGCCTGTCAAACAAGGGTAACCTGTGTTCCGGTTACGTGAAGCTAGAGAGAAGCACTCTCCCCCGCGTGAGCCAAAACCCTGAAGGCAGTCAATAATGCTAGAAGAAAAATCCAAACCTCTTCTGTCTTGTCTCTGATGCACTGTTGACCTCAAAGACACGATATGGTGAAAGTGAAATTAGCGTGTACTTTTGATTCCTCACCGACCATGTTCGTTCAGTTATGAGGCACAAGTTCCAACAAGCCATACATTTTTTTCTACATTTTTAATTTAATGTATCAAAAGAGGCTGAAAATAAATTCTTGAAGGATTGGTCTTAGGTCCAGTGGCCCTTTCTTTGAACTGCTTCTCTACTAGAAAAGTTATAAAGTCTGCTGAAGATGTCTATTCTCCACATGAAATTTTAAGAATCGAGATAGTGTACTCCGTTTCGAGCTCAGTTAGTGTTCCACATACCCCCTGATGTCCCTTCTATTCGGTACACGTAGGAAATTTTTTGTGAGTGTACATAATGTGAATAAAACTTATGTGGACCCGTAACATGTGACAGACCTGCTCTAAAAGAAACCTCAGGGTTTAACTGACAACATGTTGTGTTGTGTGCGTAGAAATTTTAGAGCCACAGTCGAAAATTTATGAAACTGTCATGAAAATGATTGGTACTTACTACAGTCTAGTCTATGAAAATTCCTGCGTTTTTCGATATGTTCTCCATAATATACGAATTAACTTTAATAGCAACTTTAAGTACTAGAAAGCATAACAGTAAAGACGTATATATCAAGATATCCTGCTCTCTAGAAGACCATTGGAACCATAGAATACTTAAGACTTGTTCCGTTTTTTCGTACCGTACAATGTCATTTTGCTGACAGTGATTCGGAAGTTCATATATTCGAATATTTGTACGATTATAATGATGAGGACCACAACAGATATCCAAGGCACAGTAGATCAAACGTTCCAAGGGGATCAAATGATGGTGCTGGTCAGTTGATAAACTGTGCCTTGGATATCTGTAGCTTGAACTTCGGAGGTGATCAATGACCATGGAAACCAAGGACGAAAGATTACACAGACAGCTGATGAACGCCATTGTCTGTGGTCATATTTCACTTGCAAGAACTATTGTTATGCCTTGTAATCTTGGCTCAAAAGTCTACCATATAAGCCTCGATTTGTTTCTAGACGTATAGTGTGGCTCAGTTGTGGTGTGATGTACCGCATATACTTGGCAGGCATACGTGGCGAAAAAGGGGTTCGTGCACTGAAGCTTCCGACCGGTACATCGCCCCATCATATTCGGTCACTATGCTGTACATGAGTGGATTGAATGAATCCCCTCACACTTGTAAAGGGTTTTTGACACCTAGCTGTGGAGAGCTTGAATGATCAACAAAAGCCTGTAGACTTAGTGTTCAACTAGAAATGGAAGGTGACCGCCTCACCATATGGGACCGTTTGGTTTCATGCATGTGGACTCGGTGTACCCAATAAGCTGACTGCAGAGCCCTTCCCAGATCTGCTTCCCTGGCCTCGCTGTGAATATGAGTAAATTGGAAAACATGATCAGTCAAATGGGTTCAAGTTATTGATCTCCCAATCACGTAATGAACGTGTAGACATTTTCAGAAAGTTTTTCTCCGTGCTCGAGTCAAAACCCTACTCAGTGCCTCGAGCAGGAGTGCAAACGTGTGGAATCATGGCGCGAGAAGGTCCGTAGTGGAGACTATTAGCATCACATGGCATCAGAATTGCTACCGTAGAGAAAGTAGAGGTATAAGCTTGAGTCGGGTAGAGTTTCCTCCTGCCTGACGTCCACGAAGAGGAGTGACCCATCATTACGTCATTCTGGTTGACATGGTTCCAGCAGCCGCTCTTTATGTGTACTACTACGCTGAATTCAGCACTTGACAATCGAGATCAGTTAGTGGAGAGTGAGCTGTCACTGATTGGAGATCTTCGTGCTCATCGTTGCGTCCCCCCTGCACGTGGGAAATCTTTTTAGAGTCTATAAGTGTTCAATACATTTTTTCACAGAAACCTTGCTTTTCCTCCCGCATCGAGCTCAGAGCCGAAACTATGTACGCAACGTCAGCGACTCCTTCGTAGTGCTAAAATATGCCACGTCGTTGCCATGGCGCTAGAGAAATCCTTGCCAGTGCTGTCCGCGTAGACAGGTATGCTTGAAATCTGAGAACACTGCTACTAGATCTGTTCTGATTCACTTTGCAGGGATGTGATGATGTAAGTCTGTTTCGTCGGCAATTTTTTCCAGCATTCTCGCGGCTATCTAAAGTATGACGATCACAACACTGATTCCAGAAGCTCGAATGACGTGGTCGGCATACACAGGCAGCTCTAAGACACAGGCAGGATTATTGAAATGGGCTTGTTGAAATCTACATCGGAAATATCACTGAACGTAAAGCCGGTTATGTTCTCGAGATACAGAGGGCGATCACAGAAAAGCAGGCAGCGACATTGTGAAGTTCGACCGGCTTACTCCTCTTTGCTCAGAAATTCTGCTTCACAAGAAAGATGAGTGCAAAGATTGCTTAGCAATGCACAAAATCAGAAAGATTTGTGGAATTTCTAATTTCTGAGCAAGATTAGTGTAAAGATTGCTTAGCAATGCACTCGCATCCATTCTTAGTAAGAAGTTTGATCATCCATTTCGTAAGACGATGATCAAACTTCATAGATAGACTCTTGGTGTCCGGCTCATTGAAGCAAAATCTTTATTTACGTCGGCGCTTTGAAAAAAAAGACGTTTCTTTATTCAGCATTATTCGGGTTATTCGATATGTAAGCACTCACACGTCGTAAGACAAGAATTCAGAGAGTAGAATCATGGGCAAGAAAGGAACCGAGAATGCACTACCGTCCTACTTCCGCTAAATTCCGCTGGTGAGCACACCGTGACTACTGGTATAACTTCAGTGACAAACAATGAGACCAAATTATCAATCACAAGAGTCTTGCTATGAAAGCAGACTATTGTTCATATTCTACTCCAGCGTGTGCACTACACACTCCTGAGCTTGACCGCAGAACCTTTTCGCTTGAAAAAATCAAACGCGCTCGAAACCCTTTCTGGAACTCCAATGTGTATGGCGAGCAGTAATGAATGCAGTGTGGTTCGGAGTGACCCTTTCCCCTTTTACCGCTTTCATATACCTCTTATCGTAAGTGCAGAGCTCTGTACTCTGTGCACAATTTTACCTTACGATTGCAGTTAGTGGAAAGTTGTGCAGAGTCTGACAATCTCGAACTTGACAAATTAAAATATCTCATCTCTGTGAGCGGATGCTACTCACAGATGCTGCACCTACCTTCTCCAGCACTTGGCAGAAATCATACTAGCTCGCACGCAATAAGCGACAATGTGATCCACAGCCTATTCTGAGACGATAATCAGCCAAAAGGTACTCTATACGAGATACGGATATACGACCGATTTTTCAGGCTTGGATCAGGCGCAAAACAAGCATTCAATGTATCTTCACCCTTCTGAAGTTGGTGGTTCAAGGAACGAGTAAGTAACGGTAGGTAGCTGCAGAGCTGGAACACGAGGTAGCTAGACCGCCCGCCGACACAGATTGGACCTGTTCCAGTCGAGGTGGATTCAATCAAATGTTTCCTTCACATACATCGAAGACGAAGCATATCAACGTGGCGGCTCGTAGGCATGCTTTCACAGATTCTTTTGGCGAATACAGTTCGCAGGTTTAGGAAAAGCTGAGCAGCGAAAAGAGAAAGTAAGTACCTTGGAGTTGCTCTTTTGTCCTTTTCACAACGATCACTTCTTGCCAGAATTTTCTGATGCCTGGAAGTGTCCATTGGACACTTCCAGGCATCAACCTCTCTCCTTTGTGATGTGATTCATTCTTAGCTCCGCTTGAGATGCATAATGCTCTGTGGATAGGATCGTCATATAATCGATGAGGTCCAAGAATTTGCCTCTGCGGTTATCAACTGCGTGTGACAACACATCATTTCATACTTTCGTCTTTTAAGTGATACAAGTTAGTCTTGATGCCGAATATTACACTATTGGCACGGATATCTCCCGAACAGCTTTACTCAGTTATGAGGTCACCAATCCACAAGGTACTGAACTCTAAATCCAGCATGTCTGCTAGAGATGAGCAGTGAATAAGAGGAGAACCTGCAGTAGTTACAAGTAGTGCATCATGTGTGCATTCGTGTATGAGAAGAAGTGGTTACAAGCAGTAGGTCAAACACGAATCTCAGCCCACGAGTGGCAGATGCAAGCTCAATTACAGAACTCTCGAGGCATCCAAGTGCTCCAGGTCTACAACGAATCCGCATTTTTTAGAGGAATCGTGGATCAAACTAGGCCAGTGCTCTTATGACCCACGATCGCTTCCTGCCTCCAGACAACATAGCCTTTTACTGACAGGAGCATGGTATCCAGGGCTCTGAAATTGAAAACACCTGGCTGTAATAACCTACTAGAGAAAAAAACCCGGAGAGTCAGACTCGTGCCGTTCAAAGGACTGAAGGTGACAGACAAAAGATCGTCTAAAAGTAGAACGATAGTCAAGGAATTTTTAAGTAGTCACGGATATGATTTTATGAACGGAAACTCATTTTTCTGTACGCATCTCATAATATCGAAGGTCTGAAGACTCTTATGACAAGCCTTATGACACATTTGTACCACAAAAGAACTTACATTGGATATTTTCAGCAAGAAAAAGCACACTTTCGTGTTCAGATATCGTCCTCTACTTATAATAGTTACAGATAGAAAGCAGAAGACCGAGGGATGTATCTTGATATATCGAGGCTGCAGTTGTCGATCATCAACGGGGAAACGTGAGAATTTTTGGGGAATAACACTACAGCATATACAACAAATTATATGTCTGGGGTTTAAATGGGTTGAAACCGAAAAGCGTCATTTTGTAATTGAAAGTAGGAAATTTTTGCATTTGACGTTCTTCGAGAAGAACATTTTTTGGGGGTCTATGAAATCATTCCTTGCTCAGATTACTATCCCGATTGAATGGTCCACTAAAACTACACCATCAAGATCAATTTGTCCCAAATAAAACGGTCCGAATGGAACACACTGCTCGGTAGGAAAGCAAGTAATCTGTGAGTGGAGGTGGATGTATCAGTGATTAAAGCAGTGACTCTTCGGACTGAATTCAAGTCTAGATCGAGTTGAAGGTTTATGGAACCGAAATAACTACCACTCACAAGAAGCACACTGCATTTAGTCGTCTAGAAGTTACCTTTGGCTGGTGTAAGCATGGTCGATATTTGGCTACCGGATAAGCTTGTTCGTTAGATCATTGGAAGGTTATTGTGCATGGGTCTAGCATCTTAGAAAGGAGATGAAAATTGAGCACGGCACGGTTCACATGTCTAATATTGCTGCAACGAGGCTAGCTGCCATGCAATCCAAATTTTAGTCGTTATATAATTCTCCTTCATCGACTTAGTTTAGCCCACACCACTGCTATGCCTAAACCTTTAATGTGCCGATCTGTATGTAACCACTTCGTTCCTGAAAATCCTACAGGGGAGAGCACACAGAGTAGGAGAACGGATTAGACAATGAAAATCTAAGGTTAAATTAATGGAACCGCATTCGACGAATAGATATTACTTGAAACGCTGTCTTCCGGTAAGATGTTAAACAAGATAAGCGAGTTAAAAGGCTTTGGCTGAAAAACTGGGTTGGACTGGGTAGTGACATCCGCAATATTCAGGAAAGTCAGTTCCAGCGTTTGAAGTACTACCTTTGGTTCGATCATCTCATATTGTACCCCTGTAACCTAGAGGCACGTCGTTGTGTTAACAGAGGTTAAGCTACTGAATTTTGAGCTACTGTATGGCACTGTGACTGGATCGGAGAAGCATAGTTTTGACACAAATTCTAGTAATAGACGGAGCAAGATAGGAAGCGTCCACATAAACTCATGCCTTTACAGTTGAAAGATTAGCATAACCACTGCAGGTCTGGTCGAAGGTTCATCAAGATCAGTTGTGATCTTGGTGCACATGCTTGGACAATATGCTCAGGGGACCGATATTTTCCCACTTTCCACCTGCACCCAGATCGTGAGCTCATGAGATCAAGTGAAATAGCTTGATGTATATCTGTCTTCTCATAATTTCCTGTGGACTGAATATTGCTCATTCATATTTCATCATACACAGATTCTGAGCATGCATCGGATGTGGTCAGAAGATCTGATAAGGCGGCATTGACTTGATAAGAAGCCCTATGCACGCATGCAGCCCAAACACCATCCGATGACCCGTTGATTTCAGAAAAATATTTTCTGTGACATTGATGAATCTGACAATTGGGACATCATTCTTCACTTCGTGCAATCATCGTTACAAATAAAAACTGAAAAGCACCGTGATGCGTATACTACGTGAGAATGGAAGATCAGAACTGCAGAGATTATCTTGAGTTTATCTTGGGGACTACAAAGGGTACTCGATGACAGCCATGATGACACGCGGTCTTGGATTGTGGAGCTTATGTAGGGATATTTTCACCATTGAAAGAGTAGCTTTAGGTAAATTATGCGACAAAAGTGAAATGATTGATGGGTAAAAAATTTACTATTAGACAAAGCTATTGATCGTGTAGCATTAAAGAAAAACGTTCAGTAGTTCGATAGGAAGGAAGAGAACCCATTCGTTTAAAAGTACTTGAATTTATAATAACTAATACTCAAAAGATGATTATGGGAGAGAATATATTAGAGAAGAACGGATATAATAGTAATTTCATTGAAAATTTCATTAATATTGTCAAAGCGGAGTGGACGTAGGATGAGCAGATTACAAGAATGCCCCAAAAGCATGTTTAGCATAAAAATAGACCTACATTTGTCGAGAGTTGTATGATACTAAGATACTTGATCTAAAGGTACCATTGGATTTCTTGGAATAGATTGTTATGCATAGAGTAACTAAAAATAGATGACATAAAGGAAAAAACCTAAACAAACAAACAAAAACGGTCAATTTCTCAATAGGAGCAAGCGTTAGTGGCGATGATCACAATGAAAGTACAGTGATTTTTTTAGAGCCAGAAACGTAAGTAGTTGCGACAATATCGCCTCAATTTTTTTTCGGGGCATTTTTTTCAATAGAAGCAAGCGTTACATAAAAACATCATGTAACATCAACAATGCTGGTACACATCAAAAAAATATCATTTTTTATGTAACATTTGCTCCTATTGAAAAATTGACCCAAAAAAGTATTGATGCGATACTGTCACAAGTACTTACGGTTCTGGCTCTAAAAAAATCATCTTATTTACATTGTGCTCGATGCCACTATCGTCCATCATGACTGAATCTTCTCAGATTCTGCTTCAGAAACAGAACGGTGTCTGATATTGATAGTGAATGTTATGAACCATCTCTTTCTTGTCGTACCAAATTGAGGCTTTGTTTCAAAGTTGTAGACTTCATTGTACTGCGGTATGGAAGAAATCGTCACCATACAGTAGTGGCGGAATTGGACTGTGCTGAAATTAGATCTACGAGCCACCTGTGTTACAATGACCTAATGAGCAAAATTCAGATGTAGAACTACCTATCAATAGTTCAAAGACCAATCCTAGTAGACTTATGTGACATATAGACAGCTGGGATCCTTCACGTGGCAAAGAATCATGACTGGATGCTGATATGGTGATTCTGTTGTTCCTCAAACTGTGGCCAGCGTAGTGGAACACTAAATTTCTTTATCCGACGTTCAACACTCTCAAATAGTGACATTACACGTTATCAACGATAGGCCTTGATTTGAGGAAACGTCACTCACGTAACTTAATCCTTATACATTATCTAGAACATCACTGATATACTATTGTATTAAATATCATTAGTGTTTACTCCAATTCTCTTGTCTTAATAATCTCTTAATTAGAGATTATCAATTCGGATTTAGATTAGAAAAGAAAAAACCTAAAATATTGAATCATGGGTTTTCATATTTTGTTTAGACATCTTAGAAATATTCCAAATTTGTGTGTTTACCAAATCCAAGAGTTTGGGATAAAAGTTACGTTAATATGTATCAAAACTTCATAAGAGCAGCCAAAAATGAACATATGTTTTGCAATTCCAACATCTTAATCTATTCAAGAACCAACTAAGTTACCAGAAAAATACGAGGAGTATTGAAAAGTGTTTGAGAAGAAGAATGCTCATTCAACTCCTCAACATCTAAGTTATGATTGTGGCATAAAACTCTAAGAAAGTGCACAATCTAGCTTTGATCTAATCTACATCTTGATCTGATCTAAGCTTGCTACATTGCAAGATTAACTTGAAACAAATCTCACAAATAACTTCATTCAACATTTGAAGTAGTTGTTGGAGGTCTTATTTCATTTGTCGAGAAGAAAGAAAAATTTCTTTGGATATGAGTGAACTATTCTGGACTAAACAAGGACACAATCAAGATATGCTATTCATTGTTTTTGATTTAAAAAATTCTTCATTAACTCAATCAAGCTTTTATTCACATCAACATTGATTTTTGTGAAATGTACAATCTAATATGTATCAAGTAAAGTGACAAATATAAAATTTCCAACTAGATTTGGACATTTTGAATACAATGTCATGCACTTTGATCTTACCAATGCGACAGTCATCTTTCAATACTTATCTAATGTACAATTAAGATGAATTTTAATTTATAGATGAATTTTTTGTTCGTTATCTTGACAATATATTGATTCTCATCTTAGAATGAAAAATATCACATCAATCATGCACGTCTAGTATTGGAGAAATTGCGCACGGTTGGACTTCACGTCAAGATAGAAAAGTGTATTTTTCATCATACCACGTCAAATTGTTTGGCTACATCATTTCTAGAGAGTATTAAGTTTTGAACATTTATCAATTGTAAAAATCGATTACAATTTGATTCATACAATGCTTTACAAATTTTGCAAATGTTTACTAAATCTTCATTCAAAACTATTGCAATATTGCTGCTCCATTCACATGATTGATTTGCATAAACAAACTCAAGTGGAATGCAAAAGTAGATCAAACATTTGATACTTTACAATGTTGTTTATTTTGATTCATCTTGATTTATAGATGCCATCTAAAATTAAATGCTTGTAGCTTTGATTTTAAAACGGTTCAAAAATCAATGAAGACACACATTTTCATCTTATTGCGTTTCACTTGTAAAAATTTACTGTTGCCACGATCAATTTTGAAATGCACAAAAATTAGCTCTTATTTATTGTCAATTCGTTTTAAGAGTGGTGTCAATTTCCTGGAGTAGCTCAACATCTGATCACAATTTACATTGATCACAAAAAACTTAAGTTTTTCATATCTACCAAGATATTGAATTGACAACAAGACCTTTGGAATATATATTTTTCACGCTTCAACTTTGTCATCACATATCGCTCCGCTTCTTAGCAAATGTAGTC